AAGGAAAGGAAAGGAAAGGAAAGGAAAGGAAAGGAAAGGGGAGAGCAAAGGGGAGAGGTAAGGAGACAAGAGGAGATGAAAGGAAAGAAAAAGGAAAGGAAGGAAAGGAAAGGAAAGAGCAAAGGGGAGAGGTAAGGAGACAAGAGGAGGCAAAAGGAAAGGAAAGGAAAGGAAAGGAAAGGAAAAGAAAGGAAAGGAAAGGAAAGGAACGGAAAGGAAAGAGGAGGGGAGAGCAAAGGGGAGAGGTAAGGAGACAAGAGGAGACAAAAGGAAAGAAAATGAAAGGAAAGGAAAGGAAAGAGGAAAGCAAAGCGAAGGAAAGAGGTGAGGAGACAAGAGGAGGAGAGGAGAAAAGAGGACACGGAGGTACAAGGTGAGGAGAATATTAGACTTAGTTAAGTGATCCTTAAATTTAAGGAAAATATTTATTATTTTTTAACAACAGTAAAATTTTTTGTTTTATCATGTTACTGAAGTTGTGCTTCCACCACTACTACAACAACAACAACAACAACAACAACAACAACAACAATAATAATAATAATAAAGCAGCCGTACCGTGTCAGTCGCTCTGAACCAGTCAGCATTAAACAGCCAGTCAGACTCAGTCACTCCACAGTTTCTGATCACTGATCAAAACTAATCAATAAACCATTGAGTCAATCAATCAGGAGGTAAATTCATATTCAGATATCCAGATTATCAGAACGGATCCATGAGGAGTTTATATCCAGCCGACGATCAGTGAACACAACTGCTCCTCTCTGCAGGGAAACAAAGTCTGACTTACAAAGAGGAGGAGGAGGAGGAGGAGGAGGGATGCAGGGGGAGAAAGGAGACCAGCTGTCCAGAGTCACACACGCCCCTCTCTCTGAAACACACACACACAGACACACACACACACACACACACTAACACACACATGAGCTGCCTCCTTGAAGAATGATAAGTTAAAGACACGCGACCCTCTGACATGTTGAGACACAGAGAAGAAGAAGAGGAGGAGGAGGAGGAAGAGGAGGAAGAGGAGGAGGTGAGGAGGTTATTAATCCTCTGACTGACACGACAAACAAATCATTTCACCTCCTGTTTAAAACCTCCTCATGTTTCCACGTGTGTCAAACTGTTCAGACCTTAATGATGTCACACAGAAAATACTGCCTCATGAAAATAATTAATAAATAATTAATAAATAATAAATGGAGTATTGCACTAAGAAGTAATGGATTACATTGTTTTATAAATAGTGGTTTGCACTTGAAGAGCAAAATTATTTCATAAGTTTTGATTTATCATCCTTAACTTTTGATTAAGCAACAGTTTGAACCCAGGACTTTTTCTTGTGATGCAGGAGAAAGAGACCCAGAGTTGCATCTCTGCTCTTTGCAGATGATGTGGTTCTGTTGCCTTCATCACATCGTGACCTCCAGCATGACCTGGGGCAGTTTGAGCGTGAAGCGGTCAGGATGAGAGTCAGCACCTCCCAGTCTGAGGTCATGGTTCTCTGCTGGAGAACCGTGGATTGTTCCCTCTGGGTTGGGAGAGAGTTACTGCCTCAAGAGACGGAGTTCAAGTATCTCAGGGTCTTGTTCACAGTGAGGGTAGAATGGAGCGTGAGATGCGTCTCCTGCCACGATCTACGGAGCCATCAGATCAAGATGCCGGTGTAATGGTGAACCTTGTGTTTAATACTCATATTGGGAGCTTCACTACAGCACTAGCAATTAGCTAACTAGTTAGCTAGTGGAGTCATAACACTCACCGAAACCTTGTAACGCTGCTACGTTTGTAACGTTACGTTATGTTATGTTTGTAACGCTGCTCTCGTCTACTGGCGTGGACAACGCCGACCATCTCCCCACTGGCGTAGCTGAAACTTTACACATGTCCAGACTTGTAGTGGTTTTCGCCACGCTTAAGGCTTTTGTCCTCTCCTTGGAAGAAGGCGGTGAAGTGTACCAGAGACACAGCCATGTTCCGAGTGCGACTGGTGACATATGTCATACGTGTCTAGAGCAGCGAAGAGCTGTAGTCCACAAAGCGCTCTCACACAAAACCTAACAGTATCAAACTTCTTCTTCTTAAATTGTAGCCTTCTTTGCACGAAAAAAATATGTTAAAAATTCACAAACAACATATGTGAAATTCATGGCACAATTCAAACGGGAAGACAGAGTAGTTGTGCGCACATCCAATCCTTCTTTAGGTCAGGTGCTGGATAATAGGGGTCCATGCAGAAAGAAGAAGAAAATCCGCACACTGAATTAGGTTTTAATGACTAAAAAACGCAACGTTTCGACCCAAATGGTCTCCCTCAGGCAACTTCAAAAGGCCTTTTGAAGTTGCCTGAGGGAGACCATTTGACCTAATTCAGTGTGCAGATTTTCTTCTTCTTTCTACAATTCAAACGGGACCAGAAAATAATTTTCATCTAGCCATTGAAATACATTATGAGAAATCAGTACTGGAAACGGAAACACGCAACTTACGAGCTCTATTCATTTTCTGTATAGTTACTACAGTAGGGTTAACTGAATGGGGGTACATTGTCCATGCTTATAATAACGTTAATCGACTCCAAACTGCTCAAAAGCACATAGCTGGATTCTGTAAGGAGAAGTGAATCCAGATGTGTCAACCTCTCTCAGGCCCGGACTGGCCCACGGGAGAACCGGGGAGTTCCCCGGTGGCCTGGCCAGGCTGTGCAGCGCAGGCTGTGCAGCGCAGGCTGTGCAGCGCAGGCTGTGCAGCGCAGGCTGTGCAGCGCAGGCGGCCGTGCCGGCTGGCAGAGAGGCCCGTCCGCTGTCAGAAATGATAGGTGCTTGTCAGCATTTGTCACAACGATTGGTCAAAAAGGTTTTGTTTTTTTTGTGGATTCAAGACGTGATTAGTTTGTTTCGCTTTCCGCCCGCGCCCGCCCCCAAATCAGCGCGCCTGTAAACTGAAAGCAGCTTGGTTGTGGAGAGTCAGGTGGAGCAGAGAGCAGAGGGTGTGTACGCGTGCCTGCGTGTGCAGACTGTGCAACAGGAGCTCTGCAGCTCAGCAGCGCCGTTACAATGGACCGCAAAAAGAGGAAAGGTGGAGCTGAACGGGAGAGAGATAAAAAAAAAAGGGCCATTGAGGAGGAGGCGGCCAAATGTCATAAACTTACAGATATGTTCAGAGCCCCCCCCAGCCCCCAGCAGCAGCGTGACGTCGTGAAATGACGACGCTGCAACAAGTAAGTTAACATAGAAAAGTAAGAAAACTGGTTATTCTCAACACGAGGTCCGGGGAGGATGGGGACCGACCCAACGCCAGATAAATGATTGATGATAAGCTATAAGAGCCAAATTAACCCGTAAGGGTCCATTTGGTTCCATTTTGTACAGAGCAGCGCAGGCTGAAACAGTTTGGGGACTCTTATCTGTCTAAGTTCAAAAGTTTTCAATAGGCTATCTGTCTAATGTTGAAATAAGATCAGATAAGTTGAAGTTGCAGCTGACTTATATTTTTACTTGTTTTACTGTTGCATTGAATATGGGTGTTGCCATATTGATTATGATAAGCTGACATCAAAATGATTTGCTGACAAAATAATACAATCATGTTGTTTAGTTCAGCATAATACCCATTCATATAGGAGTCCTGGTTTATTGAGGGGCACATCTGGTGAGGGTAGGGAGGAGAAAAGCACTGGACTGGAGGACTGTGAGTAGGGTTGCTGTTACAATTGTGTTTAATAGAGTTGTTGTGTGACTGTCAGTCTGGAATAATGAGCTTTGGTGATTACTTAGCCCATATGTGTGTCTCTGTGCACGTGCACGTGTGTGAGCATGTAATGTGTGGCCTGGGTGGATGTATGACTCCCGGCCTGAATTTCTGTCCCAGTCCGGCCCTGACCTCTCTACATCTGGTCAACTTTACCTAAGGACAGATTTAGCCTGTATATTTGGGCCGAGGGCGCCACCTGCAGTGTGGAGGCGGCACTGGGTGGATGTGAAGAATGAGACTGATGTGAGAGCAGCTGTTTGTCACCGCCCCTTCCTTCCTGTTGGCACTTTAGTTTCACTTTGTGTGCTGGTCGTCGTGTCGCAGCTTCTTGTCTCCATCTAAAGGTTTGTAAGCTTTGACACTTTTCACTGTGTGACTCTTGAATGACTCTTTGTTAGTTCACTTCCTGTAGAAACTTGTTAAAGTG